GTCCCACTTGATAAAGCAATTTATTGTTGGTGACACATGTTGTGGATTATTTTTGCTCTATATTTAACCTATTTTCAATAAACTAATGTAGTTAATGTAACATTTGAATCAGTTTTTTTTAGATTTAATATTTTTTTTATTTTACTTATTTTTTTAAACTTCATCTGTTCCTCGATTACACTGAAGCACAACAAATTGGAATGTCTACCATATGATCCTCGGAGGGGAATGTACCAACAAAGTTGCCAAAATAGAAGAATTGTACTGCTCCAAAAAGTCAATGTTGAAGAATCTGTGAACCAGTTATATCTGTAGGCGTGGATAGTACTGCCTTATATCTGGAAATTTAAGCTTTAGTAAAAGCTCCATGCTTGTAAATGCAATTCCTATTTTAAGCAATTTAGTCACTTTATGTTAACAATATTGCACAAACAATGTTTTTTATCTTTACTTATTTCACTGTGACCCATAGGAGAGATCATACTTTCATTCATATCACTGGTGGGGATTGTAACACTGGCGGGGATTGTAACACTACAAGCTGTTACTACTGGAGCTTGCATGATTGCTCTAGTAAATGTGAGTCGGCACTTAACAATTATGTTGTACATTTTTCACTCTTTGTGTTACATACTACACTATCAATAAAAAGAGAGAGAATAAGCACTAGATAACAAAGACCCTTAATAAAACAGGATGAATAATAAAAAGGAGGTAAGGGTTGCACCAAACACTACTAGCTGTTACTACTGGAGCTTGCATGATTGCTCTAGTAAAAGTGAGTCGGCACTTAACAATTATGTTGTACATTTTTCACTCTTTGTGTTACATACTACACTATCAATAAAAAGAGAGAGAGTAAGCACTAGATAACAAGACCCTTAATAAAACAGGATGAATAATAAAAAAGAGGGAAGGGTTGCGCCAAAGTCTAGTAACAATAAGAAACAGACCAAAAAGTCTAGGTGATAGTACAAAAACAGTTATGGCTGCATCAATAGAGTGAATAGTTAGAAATAAAGTCTCACTAAAGTAGCAGGATAAAATAGGGGTGCAATCCTCAGGAGCTGATCTATCTGGATGGTTAAATGGTTTATCTGTTACTTTTATATCTGTTCTGTTCCATATTCTTTGTTGTTTTATCTAAGCGCAACCTGTTTTCCTGTATCTTTTAATGATATTTTGCTTTGTTGGGACATAGAGGGGTCCCTAAACACAGTGTGTGCTGCCTTTGCATAATATCTTTAAGTACCTCTGACATATCTATGGAATGGAAAAATGGTAACAAATTCATAGACACAATTATTATTTATGTGGCAAGTACAAAAAAGGAAATAGAGCCAAATGTTTCTTTTTGGATTGATGCTGGTCTGGAACACAAGGGGGTGGTCACTTATTGGTTCTGTAGGTACACCTTATCTCCACCTCTGGGCCAGGCTTGGTAATCCACAGGGTATACAGTTGCAAGAAAAAGTATGTGAACCCTTTGGAATTATATGGATTTCTGCACAAATTGGTCATAAAATGTGATCTGATCATCATCTAAGTCACAACAATAGACAATCACAGTCTGCTTAAACTAATAACACACAAAGAAAGAAATGTTGCCATGTTTTTATTGAACACACCATGTAAACATTCACAGTGCAGGTGGAAAAAGTATGTGAACCCCTAGACTAATGACATCTCCAAGAGCTAATTGGAGTGAGATGTCAGCCAACTGGAGTCCAATCAATGAGATGAGATTGGAGGTGTTGGTTACAGCTGCCCTGCCCTATAAAAAACACACACCAGTTCTGGGTTTGCTTTTCACAAGAAGCATTGCCTGATGTGAATGATGCCTCGCACAAAAGAGCTCTCAGAAGACCTACGATTAAGAATTGTTGACTTGCATAAAGCTGGAAAGGGTTATAAAAGTATCTCCAAAAGTCTTGCTGTTCATCAGTCCACGGTAAGACAAATTGTCTATAAATGGAGAAAGTTCAGCACTGCTGCTACTCTCCCTAGGAGTGGCCGTGCTGTAAAGATGACTGCAAGAGCACAGCGCAGACTGCTCAATCAGGTGAAGAAGAATCGTAGAGTGTCAGCTAAAGACTTACAAAAGTCACTGGCAAATGCTAACATCCCTGTTAGCGAATCTACAATACATAAAACACTAAACAAGAATGATTTCATGGGAGGATGCCACAGAGGAAGCCACTGCTGTCCAAACAAAACATTGCTGCACGTTTACAGTTTGCACAAGAGCACCTGGATGTTCCACAGCAGTACTGGCAAAATATTCTGTGGACAGATGAAACCAAAGTTGAGTTGTTTGGAAGAAACACACAACACTATGTGTGGCGAAAAAAAGGCAGCACACCAACATCAAAACCTCATCCCAGCTGTGAAGTATGGTGGTGGGGGCATCATGGTTTGGGGCTGCTTTGCTGCGTCAGGGCCTGGACGGATTGCTATCATCGAAGGAAAAATGAATTCCCAAGTTTATCAAGACATTTTGCAGGAGAACTTAAGGCCATCTGTCTACCAGCTGAAGCTCAACAGAAGATGGGTGTTGCAACAGGACAATGACCCAAAGCATAGAAGTAAATAAACAACAGAATGGCTTAAACAGAAGAAAATACGCCTTCTGAAGTGGCCCAGTCAGAGTCCTGACCTCAACCCGATTGAGATGCTGTGGCATGACCTCAAGAAAGCGATTCACACCAGACATCCCAAGAATATTGCTGAAATGAAACAGTTCTGTAAAGAGGAATGGTCAAGAATTACTCCTGACCGTTGTGCACATCTGATCTGCAACTACAGGAAACGTTTGGTTGAAGTTATTGCTGCCAAAGGAGGTTCAACCAGTTATTAAATCCAAGGGTTCACATACTTTTTCCACCTGCACTGTGAATGTTTACATGGTGTGTTCAATAAAAACATGGCAACATTTCATTCTTTGTGTGTTATTAGTTTAAGCAGACTGTGATTGTCTATTGTTGTGACTTAGATGATGATCAGATCACATTTTATGACCAATTTGTGCAGAAATCCATATCATTCCAAAAGGTTCACATACTTTTTCTTGCAAATGTATATCCAATGATATTGAAATGTGTATTGTACTTGCTTGGGGCCAAAACCTAATTTTGAGTGAGTCACTATGTTCCTTGCCAGAGACCCATTGGGCAGAAGTTTTACTTTGAAGACCTGTGTAAGTGATTAGGACTGTTAAAATGTTATTTTATCCTTTTTGTTTTTTATCTGTTGTTGGTGTAAATAATTTGTTTATCATCTATTTTTTGTATGCACTGTGACAATTTGTCTGGTAAAGAATCACGTTACCTGAAGAGACTAACTAATTTGTGTTTTTCAATTGCTTAAATATTGTGCTAAGTTGTATTTAGTGGGGTTTTATTATTACGTTATCTGGGGGATCAAGACACCCTATTTATAAATTGTCTTGGTGGTGGCAGCGTTAAAATAGTAATATTTATATTATTATGGTTAAGTATGGGTGGTGTTAAGGGGGATTTTTATCATTATTTCCGGTCTAGTGCAGAAATAGTGAAGCTTAACCCTTTCCCCACTACAACCAGGATGCGTTTGTGACACCTAAAACTTCTAGCATCCCTACAGCTCTCTGTGATACATGAAAATTAACACTAAAATGAAATGCAGTATCTGATTAAGTATTTGGTAAAGTTTACCTTTCTTAAAGGAACACTGTACTCATTATAACAACTTCACCTACAGTAGTGCCTACAGTAGTTCATCCTCTGTCCTAGCCTCCAAATTGATATTTTATTAATAAATAGAAGGTTTGGAAGTGCGGCTTCAAGCCATGCCTCCAAGGCCTCTGATACATTGGTACCATGACTTCATGCTTGTCATAAACCATTGTTGCATTCAGTGATTCTCTATGCCAAGAGAATCTTTGGTGGATCGCAGCAAGTGTAGTGCATCCACTTATGGTCCACAAGGAGCATTGGATTGGACCATCATCTTAGAGCATGCCTCCAGGAACTTCATGTGAGGAGGCGCACTACAGTGCACACTGGGGGTGGGTGCCTAAAAGTAACTAGACATATAAAGACTACAGCAGGTTTGTATTCCTAATGTTAGTGTGTCCCTCTAAAACATAAGAAATATATGGCTTGCATATGTTAAAGTGATGTGTATTTGTAATGATATACTACCAGTTTACGAAACATGCTTTCCCTCTTACATACAAATCACTTGTTGTTTTTTTTATTGATGGCCACAGAGACAAACAAATAAAGGTTATTGATTTTCCAAATCTGTTTTCAAAATTAATGTCAGGGCTATAACTCAAGGAGACACAGAATAAGAAACAAGTGTGCTTATTAATATATGTTCTACCTATAAAATATAATGCTTTCATATGTTTCTCTCTCTTCCTCCTTCTCTCTATCCTATCTGAACCTTTATCAAGAAGACAGTGGTTAAAACAATGCGCGAATATAAATAATAACTAACTTACCCACCTCTTCGCATTCCACAACATCATTGAGTGGAGTGAGGAAGTATTACCTCCTCTGGGATGGTCCAATCAAATACCCCTTATATTGGGAACCTGATGCACATGCGCAGCAAGTGCATTGTATTTATTTATTGTTTTAATTCCTTATGTTTGATGTGCAAAGATACACCAAGGATATATTCAAAAACATCAATATAGTCATCAGGGGGAGTGGCCTGGCATCCATGGAAAGCTCCCGAGTTTCAGGTGTCTAGAAGCTTAAAATATTCGGTCTGCAAAGCACTTATAATGGTAAAATACGAGGAGAAGTCTCACTACGTCCTTTTTCCTGGCTAGGACCTCTACAATGAAAGTGCGGGAGGGCTGAAACCCTCCAAAAGATGGCGGCGAGCTCTGTTCCAGAGAAGGCTCACTCTCACCCCCAGCCTCCCCAGACTCGGTGCCAGATGAAAGACCCCTGACGGTGTTAAAATCTTCATAGATCTCTCTGACGAGACTCCAATTTTGGAAGAGCATGTCCCCGCTCACGACTACACTGCGGGCTCAAGGAATCAATTATAGATGGGGAAATCTGGCTAAACTTTTAATCCACTACAAGGATATCACTCACGGCGTGGCAACCCTTGAGGCTGGTATCATGAGACTCAAGAACTGGGGTCTGCCAACACCAGATGTCATACAAGAGAAACCTGCTAAGGTTCCCCGGATGTCCCCAGAGTGGACACTTACCTGAGACCTGAGATGTCCCTACTGTTCTCAGAACATGTAATGATTGTCCCCGATTAAGCTGGGTACCCTTCTATGATGGAATATTGTGTTTGTACTGAGTTTTTACTCTTAGTTACTACACTGTGTTTAGAGAGTAACCGAGCTTAATGGAGCTCCTGTTCTAACTCCATATGCTATGTGTGACATTATTCTAGTTAAATTGCCTCTAGATCCAAGGCACTTAGCTGTACTTACCTCCCTGGCTCACCCTTTTCTCCCAAGGGTCACATGCACACTGCAGTTGTTAGTTAGATGTTCATTAATCAAAATATATAAAAACAAACAAACAAACAAAACCACAATAAATAAAACAACGTACAAAAAAAATAAAATAGAAAATAAATTATTTGACACATTCCAGTTAAAAGTTAGGGGAACATGGTGTCTTAATGACTTCTTACTTTTGGCCCCCGTCTTCGCATACACTATTAAAACAGAACTGCAAGAATATTTCACTATTAATACTAATAACGGAGTGCTTGACTTTGCAGTATGGTCGGCACACAAAGCTGTCATCAGGAGTTTGTTTATCCAACGCTCATCTTATCTTAAAAGACAACACAACACTAGCGCACTAGAATGCCATAAACAAATTACTATAACGTCCTCTCTGAACAAAGCCCAGCCCACCTGAAACCTAGCTAAAAAACTGAAACTGCTATAGACACGGTTAGTGGAACTAAATGCTGAAAAGACTAAATATTTATTGCATAAATTGCGTGCTAACACCTACCACAATAGTGGAAAGGCAACCAAATACTAGATTACATAATAAATACTCCATAACCAAAATAGCCCACATAGTGGGGGATGATGGCTCGAAAATGATAAACCCAAATGACATTTGCCAAGAATTTGCGAACTACTACGCAAAACTTTATAATCTAAAATTGGATAAGACTGTACATAATTCTTGTCATGAACACACCTTACTTCAAGGGTGTGCGTGATGTAGTTGTGGTGGTGAAAGGGTTAAAGTTCACTATTTGTCTGCACTAGACCAGAAATAATGACAAAATTCCCCTTAGCACCACCCACACTTAAACATAATAATATAACTATTACTATTTTAACACTGCCACCACCAAGACAATTCATAAATGGGGTGCCTTGGTCCCCTCAGTTAAACTTAATAATAAAAGCCAACCAAATACAACTTAGCACAATATTTAAGGAATTGTAAAAATACTAACTAGTTTCTTCAGGTAACGTGATTCTTAACCAGACAAAGGCAGAACTTAATAAATACATGTTTAATCTGAGCACAAAATAGTCACAGTGCATACAAAATATAGATGAAAAACAAATTATTTACACCAACAACAGATAAAAACAAAAAGGATAAAATAAACAGTAAATAATTACTCACTTAGGTTTTCAAAGTAAACTTCTGCCCAGGGGGTCTCTGGCAAGGAAGGATGGTGACTCACTCAAAATTAGATCTTGGCCCCAAGCAAGTACACCCTCACCCCTCCAAATCATTGGATATATACCTTGTGGATTATCAGGTCTTGCCCAGGGATGGAGTTAAGGCATACATATAGAAGTAATATGTGACCACCTCCTTTGTTCCAGACCAACATCAATCAAAATGGAAACATTTGGCTCTATCTTCTCTATCTTCTCTTATGTACCTGCCACAGAAATAATAATTGCATCTACAAATTTGTTATTATTTTCCCATCCAATAGACATGTCACATGCCCCACTCGCGATTCAATAGGACTGAGATCACAATTCCTGCCACACAGTTTAAGTTGTGCAACTCAGGGTTAGTCTTAAAATAAGGATTGGTCTTGTCCCATTACAAATATATAAAAAATTTGGCTTAATTATTAAGCTGTGGGTAAGTATTAATGTTTCTCTTAGATATGATACTGGAACACAAGGGTCTTGGTATGAAACCAATACCATTACCATATCAAAGGATTCACCTATCAATTGAGAGTTTCAGGCCATATGGTCAAAGTCAGTCATTTAAACTAGACATGTAAGCGGCTCAAGTGTAAAATGTCTCACCTTGCAGGGCCTTTAATAGATCAAAAGGGCAATCCTTTTCACACCTTGCAGAAGCCCCTTTTGATTAAAAGAGCAATTTCTCTCTGCCATTTGTCCTCTACCCATGGGTCAAATAAATTATACACCCTTGCCGTGACAGTTCTGATGCAGAGAAAATATCCGACTATCTGTCAAAAATACATCTCCCTCAAATGACACCATCCCATATCAGGGAGCTGCTACAGCACATATCTATTAATGAGGTCTTGACCGCTATCAAGGGGCTACCCCTGGCAAAAGTTCTAGCCCCCCACTTTCTAAAAGTGTACCAAGAGGCTACTGCTTCTGGCAACCTTCCACCTGAGATGCTACACGCTACAATTGTCAATAGCCCAAAATTTGACAAACCTCCCAATGTCTACAAATACTTTCGTCCCCATCTCCTTACTTAATACGGACGTAAAAATATACGCCAAAATACTAGCTAATAGATTTAGCTCTATACTACCATCCATAATAAAAGGTAACCAGACAGGGTTTGTCCTGGGGAGACAGGGTATTGATAATACTTGCAAACTATCAATGATACTTGAGCAGCTTCGGGGGGCCAGCTGCGGCGGGCTTTTCTTGTCTGTAGATGCTGAAAAATCATTTGACCACCTCGGTTTGACCTTCCTGAGACAGACGTTGCTCAAATATGGGTTCCCTCCACAGGTAATTCAACAATTCTTTGCCTTGTACTTTGCCCCAACTGCCCAAGTTATGCAGGGTCTGGAATGAATGCAAAATAATTCTTAATCAGTGGGTCCCACTACCTAACGTGGTTCGAGAGAATTGTTGCACTTAAGATGTCAGTACTGCCAAGTCCCTATAGTCCTTCATCAAAAATGTCCAAAATGAAATAACAAGTTTCATATGGGCAGGCAATAGGTCTAGAGTCACAAGGAAACTGTTGCAAGCACAGACTAAAGCAGGAGGCTTGGCAGTCCCAGATGTTTGAACTTATTACTATGCTTCAATATTAGCCTCCATCTTACCACACTTTCTAGACAGACCTATACCCCAATGGGTGGCGATGGAATGAGAATTACTGCAACCATTTGATTTCCCCAGCATCATGTGGCTACCTAAAGCACTGAGACCATCATTGAAATCAGTACCAGCACAAATAGCACTAAGCATACACATATGGGACATGCATGGGTCCAAATTAAGCACCTTGAAACACATCTCTTTAGCGACTCCCACCCTAGCCCTCCCGTATTGCATCCCCACTTTCCACGCTAGAGCATGGCATGACAAGAAATTGACCCATTTGTGCCTCCTCCACTCCCAGGGTAGATTAGTGGACTCCCCTTTCTTAATGGCCACTCATAGTCTTCTACCAACCTCACAGTTTTCACGTATGCAGTTGAAATCCTTCTTAATTCGAGGAAAAGCAAAGAACCCCCCAAAGTCAACTGATAGGCAGGATATTACTACTTGATCTGTATCAATAAGCAAATGC